ATTTAGATCCAATGAGGAACTACGGGCAAGACCAATCATATTGAAGAATTTTACAACAGTTGCAAAGCTGCTTTCTCTGCTAAACATATTGTGTCGTTCTATCTTTAGCATTCATTGAGCGGTATTACCCAGTGAGAAATGACAATGAAATCGATATCAAATCAACGTCGATTCTATGTCACTTTCGACGTTGAATCGACATCGATTCGATGTCGATTCCATTATCATTTCTCACTAAATAATAGTCGGTTCTTATTTCAAGACTATCTTAAGTAATGTCTTAAGACGCTAAAGCCCTCTGGCCGGTATTCATAGTCGGGTCTTATATTTAAGACCGTCTTAAGTACAGTCTTAAGATGTCACGAACCAATCAGAAGGCCGCATTAGCGACTTAAGACATTACTTAAGACGGTCTTAAAATAAGAACCGACTATGAATACCGGCCTGATTGCTCATAACCACGGGAGTGAAACTAATATCATGGTTTCCGGTAACACCGAAAAAATAGGGGCACTCGAAAGTGGGGATTGAAGTGACCAATTAGAAAATAGCACGTGACACTATGTCATTTCCACCATTTTCGCAAATAGAATAGTAACGTACGAATCGTACGAATGCGTATGTACTGCATAATACGTATAAGTACGTACAAGTTTCAAACATCAAGCAGTTAGCCTACAAAAGGTAAGTACAATAAACTGATTTAATTTATTATAATTGTTAATATTACTATCAATTTGTTATCTTTTAAGTCTTTATGAAAACGTAACCTCAACTTTTTAAGACTTTACTTAAAACAGTCTTGAATATAAGATTTGACTACGAATACCGGCCATTATATATGTTTTAATTAATGATAAAATTACACAATAACACTGATAGCGTAATAGCACGAATATTTTACTTTTGTTTCTACACACATCATGTATAGATATTAGTACGAGCATTGTAATTATGTAATAAAAAAATTCTCTGCAAGTTTGTATTTTATTTATACTGGCATTATTACATAACTTATGAATTAATGTTCTACCCGTTACTAACTATAAAGTGTAAGTTGGTAAAGAAAATTCATGAAAAATACTTGAAGCTTATTGTTCTTTCTTTACTGATTATTTGTCTACTGGATAACGTGTTAATACTCAATAATAATAAAATTAGCCGAGTGTCATATAGTTTTATATACATTATAATATAATTTTACATTGTATTTTAATACTATATCTATATACTATTTTGTGACATAATATCACAGGATTTCCCAAACTTGAAGTACATATATATAAGGATTGATCTGTTTATTTTTCGAAGATCTTTTTCGCATAGAGACAACGAAAATATTGAAGGCGTATACTGCTTCGTATCATTCTACTGAAGCTGGAAATGTCTGTAAATTGTGTGATTACATTATTCCTATTTATAAATTTCCTTAAATAATCCGCATAAAATTTCGCACAGAAACATTAGAAACACGTCAGAAAAGAGTTTAGGAAACCCTGATATTAATAATAGATGGATTGATGGGTTTCAATAATACAATGCGTAATCACAGATTACATGGCCTTGTCACTGTCTTCTAGACAATACTCGCTACAAAAGTGATTTTATTAGCAGCAACATTTCATGTTACGTCGCGAGCATAAATCGCGTGAAATAGAAATTTGAATGTAAAAGGCTCACAGTTTCTCAAATGCGCGAATTATTTAAGTGCTTCGTGGACGTGTTTGGTTTGTATCTAAATAAACATTATCCGAAACGTAATTTAGGCGCGAAATAGTTGGAAGTTATCGACAGAAGAGCTGACGTAAGAAGCTCTTTATCTAGCATAACTTAGCATTATCTTAAATCTAACATAAGTTTACTTGTAAATTTACTATTGTCGCAGATAAACCGCAAAATTGAATAAACATGAGTCACCTTCGTGCTATTTTTAAATAATGCATTACCACACTTAGTGGTCTTATAAATTAATACAATGTAGTTTTTGATACATATTTATATACATATCTGTAAATATATATGTATATTTAATGTATGTGTATATATATATATATATACACATACATATTGTAAATATAAAAAAGCAAGGAATGCCAATTTATAGATACTAAAAGCATTAAGGACTGTGCATGGATTAATTCAGTAGTATTGCTATATGAATGCTTTGGTACATTAAAATATTAAGAAGTGTTTGAATATACAGTTACAAATTAAAGGTCGTAAATAAATATATTCCTCTATAGGAAAGTATATTTTTTCTATGTAGCATTGAATCTCAATATCTTGGAAGATTTTCAATGATATTCTACTTGACATGTTTAAAGTTCATATAATTTACTAAAATTAAATAATCGCAAAATTGGAATTATTTCAATATAATGTACAGTTAGATACTTGAAGTAGCTGATAAAATATCAATATATGTCAATTTGATCTATTACGGCTTCAGAACCTTTTCAATGAATTTCTTTATGTCACGCATTTCCTGTAAAAATAATAAAAAAGAGACAGACGTTATATAATTTCCCTAAATGTAAGAAAAGGTTCGACGAATTTTTCCTCAATTGAAGCTTCATTACCTCCTCAGAAGATGTATGCATCATTCCTCGGTATGTTTTGAATTCTGTCTGTGTCATAAATTGTTTTAAAAGAGATGCTGTCATTTGACCCCATCTATATGGCACAATTGGATCGCAATCGCCGTGACATTGCAACAGTGGAGTGTTCCTATTACCTATTGCTTCCTGAAAATAAAAATCAGTATTACAATTACAATTCTACAAGTATTATGTACGATACATAAAAGTATTGTAATACAAAAAGTGATACATACTGCTGGAAATTTTTGATGTAAAGGAAGCCATGCGGATAAAGCTATAATGCCAGCTAAAGGCTCTGGGAATGTAAGGGCACTGTACATGGCTAGTGCTCCACCTTGACTGAATCCTCCTAGAACGATGTGTGTGGTAGGAATCCCAGCTGCAACTTCCTCCGCTATTAATGAGTGGACTACTTGAGCGGCTGTACGTATACCTTCTTCATCTTCAGGGCCACTGGAGTCCAGAGTGCGTAGGTCAAACCTAGATTCACAGGATGTATTAATAATCATATAAACTCGAACTTGTAATTCGTTGTTTTCATGATAATATATTCTTATGTTCATTTTAAGGTTACCAGGAAGGCATTCTGAATCCTGCATTAAGCGTTACTGGCATTGTGGGCCTGAAATAGAAAAAAATCATGTATTAAAATACTATTAATTTACACAGGCTTCTATTTTAAACTCTTAACAATGGCCTAATTTATACCAATCGTTTAATACTTGTACCAACTAGTAACTTTTTATTAAATTATCTTAATTTTGATGGTGCGTTTAAAGAATGGTGTACTAAGATGGCACAATACAAGATGATAAATTAAATACCATGTATATATTTGCATGCATCGCCGAAATTAATATAATTTAACTGAAAGTTGCTACGGTTGGTATGGGTATTAAACGATCGATATAAACCAGGACTACATTCCAAGAAAAATTTTACTCAATATAATATAGTCTACATTACATGTACTTTATATTTTGAATAAAATTTTCTGGTGAAGACGTTTTGGAATGTAACTTAGAAGTGTTGATATCGTTGCATAATTTTGTACATATGGTTAAAAAAAAATTGCATAACAATGCAATGACATCGACACTGTTGTGTTGCTAAGAGTTACAAACTAAGGGTCACAGTTTCAATCATTGAATATCTAAAGATATTGACATACGCAGTAGGACAAATAACTTTAACATGAGGGGATCGCACCGCACCCATGGAACTGGCCCAACCATGCCTGAAAACAACATATATAGAATGTTAGCAAGGTCTGTCATTTTGCAATATTCCAAATTACAACCATGTATTGGAAACGTGAACTTACCCTGTATCACCCAAGCCATGGAAAAATATTAGCTGAAACACAGATGCTCTTTAGTATGAAATAAGGCAGTATTGACTTTATTCAGAAGTAATCTTTAAAAAAATTTCAGACTTAAAATCTATGTTTCAAGACAAGTTGTGTCATACGTGACTTTACTGAAAGGGTGTTAAATAGTGAAAGTAGTAGACTGGCGACAGTGTTTCGTCCTCGGAAAAGCTACGTGAAGTGTTTTGTATCCGTTAAGACAACTGTCGTACCTCGCGGAAGACATGCAGTCGTAAAAAAGCAGACTATGAAATCGATTCGCGAGTAATAAAACGGAGCAGCAGTGCGTACGTCGACGATCATACCAGAAAGAGAGAAAAAAGGGGCGCAACGAGAGTACTTTGCATCATGTAAATGTAATTCATTTATGATCAATTAGGATCGCACCACCGCAAATGATATAACCAAAAACTGCCACATCCTCGAAAGGATATCTTGATATCTACCGTTGCCGTATGCTTAGCTGTGGCTGAAATTACGACCGGGCTCGTCATGTTCTGTCGCTTTTTTGGACGGCCTGGAACAAGTTCGAGCAATTGTGTAACAGTTTCGTAAAAAGAGTACAGAACACAGCGCGAGGGAGGGAGAAAGAAAGAGAGATGTGACTCCTCTGCTTTATATCGACTATATCGAGTTCTTTACAGTGAAGGAGTGGGGATTTGAGGAAGAGGAGAAAGGAGAGAAGGGCAATAGCGTTAAACGCGCATTCGCGTAAATATTCAATTCAATTCAATTACTGATGCAATTTCTATATAAATGTGATTAAATTCGATTTAAAT